GCAGTGACGAGGTCTGGGAGCAAACCCACTGCAGCATCAGGGCGGCCCTGCAGCAAGCGAAGGAGCAAGCAGACAGGCATTAGGGGAAAACACCCTCCTTTCAGCCTGGAGCCTGGGTCTGGCTTTCCACTCAGAACCTCAAATTTGGGGAGGGTTGTCAAAAGTTACAGCCAAAATACATCTGTCCATTCCAGATCATTAAAAACATCAATGGTGTCACTTACAGACTTAACCTGTCAGCCCAATTTCATATTTCAATTTCTATCCATGTTTCCCTCCTTAAGCCTGTGGTACCAGGTCCACTGGATGAGGTGTCTCCTGACGGGGCTCCAATGGAGATGCTGGAGGTGGAGGGCACACCGGTCTACATTGTCCATCAGACTCTGTAGACAGACTAACCAGCTGTGTGTCAGATATTTCTCAGTGGATGTCACAAAATTTTCTATAAGTAAATCATGAAAAACTGAAATACTGATCATTGGTACAGAAACTCCACAGAAAAATGATTTATGAGAAACTTGGTTCTTTAGCTTCATATACCAAACCTGAAGTACGAAACCTGGGTGTGATCTTAGACACTGAGCTCTGTTTTATCTGCATGTAAACACAGTCACTAAAGTAGCTTTTTATCATTTAGGAAATATCACTAAAGTTCAGCCTTTTCTCTCTCAGAGCGACGCAGAGAAACTTGTTCATGCATTTGTTCCAGCAGAGTTGATCACTGTAATGATCTTCTTACTGGACTTCCTAAGAAAACAGTACATCCCTTACAACTTGTACAAAATGCAGCAGCATCCTAACAAAAACAACACAGAGAGATCAGATCAGTCCTGTTTTAAAAGAGCTGCACTGGCTGCTTGTATCATTCAGGATAGATTTCAAGGTTCTGCTACTAGTCTTTAAAGCTCAAAACAACCTTAAAGCACCTGTTTACATCAGAGTGTCTGCCTGTTTATGTTTGGCACGTAATCTAAGATCTGCAGATAGTGGCCTTCTACAGATACCCACTGTAAAATACAGAAAACATGGAGAGACTCTTTCAGTTCTTATGCTTCTAAACTGTGGAATTCAATTCCATCTTTTATTTGATCTTTTTCATTTCCTTCTGATTCTATTTAAATACTAATGATCTCATCTCTAACTATGTTCTATCACCTGCCTGTAAAGCATGTTGCGCTGCCACCGGCATGAAAAGTGCTATATGAATAAAATCATTATTATAATTATTATCAGGTGCTGGACTCCTGACAGTGTGGAGGAAATCTCCAGTATCTCATCAACTGGAAGGGTTACGGACTAGAGGAGAGAAGCTGCGTGGAAGCTAAGGACATCCTTGACCCTGGATTGATGGCAGATTTTCATGCCAGGCATCCCAAGGTGCCAGCTCCACATCCCAGGGGACATCCTCCAAAAACGTCTCGACTTCCTGCCAGGGTCCGATGCAATAACACAACTTCCGTCCGGCTCCAGGAGAGCTCTAGTGTTTCGCCCTTTGACGCCTCCAGTTGGGTAGGTGGTGGTCATTGTGGCCGCCCTCGTTCATCTGCTGTCCTGGACTCTTTGGGAGGGAGGGGATACTGTCATGCCGCCCTCCAGCCTGGCTGAAACTACAACCAACACAGCCGCTCCGGACTACAGTTCCCAGAATCCCTCGCTTCATTACATGATTCAGGACTCTCTCCGATCGACGTATCACCGTTCTGCTTCTCCAGACTTCTAATCACACACATCTGTCATGGTATATAATCAGTACCTTGTTGTGCATACCAAGCATTTCTCTCCTGTTAGTTAGTGTTACTCCGTGTATGAGCCGTTTTCTGTTAATGACCTTGATTTCTGTGCCTTTGCTCTGTTTTGGTTTTCTGGTTTTCGACTCACTGCTTCTGTTTATCGCCTGTGATTTTGGATTCTCCTTTTGGCATTAAAATTCTTAACTCAAGCCTCTTCTGTGAGCATCTGGTTCTGTCTGCCACCATTACGACAAAATAAAGAAATGGTAGTAAGTTTATTTTACTTCCTGTAAAAACATATTAACTTGTATGTTGCTGTGAATTTCTGTGTGATGGAAACATAAGGAATGATAAGGGACAGTTTTGGGAAATAACAGTGAATCAATACTGTGATGTACAGAACTTTGGGTTATGGTTCCTGTTTACTTGAACAAGTCAGGTTTATAAGAGGAGTTTGAGACTGATCACTTATGTTTGTGGTGAAAATGTTGAGAGCAAAACAAAACCTCAGATTAAACAAAACCAAGGAGACTTTAATCACTCTTAGAGGAGTAAATTTTAAATCAGTGTTTTTTATGCAAACCTACTGTTTGAAAACATGGTTTATTATATTCAGAAGCATCTGTGAGAATTGAGGAACTACACGTTTATTTAAAGGGTAAAAAACTTTGTGGAGCCGTGTCAGCATAAAAAAAGAGTATTTTTAACTTGTTTCCTTGAATTATAGAAATTTCCCTTTGCTGGAACGTGCTGTTCAGGGTTGTCTATAATGCACAAAAGAGGGTTTATTAACATGTTTATGAAAGTGATCTACATGATCTGTGTATATATATATATATATATACCTCATTGTGATCAACTTTGTTGTTTTCAGGCAGGACTTTTTCCACCATTAATTGTTGATGATATTTGTATATCTTCCTTGTTGATTATCAGATCAGAGAAATAAAGACTCAGAGCTGCTGTAACTAACTAGACTAATTTAGACTGTTTTCTTCTTAGGTCACTTCACTTCTTGTGGAGACGAGAATCAGATACAAAAGCTCCCTCAGCACCTTCAGACCTTCACACCTGCACGCCAGCTCAGCTCTTCACTTCTGGACTCTCATGATCTTCCCTGAGATCTGATCATTCTCATAAGGTAAGATCTTACAGTTTTAGTGTTCTTTAGCGTTCCTCAATGGTGGAACTCTGCACTGCACAGTGCTCTTCAGGTAAAACCTTGGGTAACATCTCTCTGCTCTCATTCACTCTCCACTTCTTAATCCAGCACATTTATTATGGTGCACAAGTGTTACCACAGATTCTATTCATTAAAGTTAATATTGAGTTAATAACATTCTGAAATATTATTATAATCATGTAATTTAAAGGATAATATTATTATTATTATTATAGATATATATAATTGTTAATAATAATAATAATAATAATAATAATAAGAATAATAATACAATTCTTCCACAATTAATCATCAGGTAATATTTTTTTTCATTACACCCATAGTTCTCCATAATGATCAGTGATCAATAAACGAGCTCTTATTTATTTACTGAAATGTTCTGTAAAGCCTGACCTCATCTAAAGGTTGTTTAAGCTGGTTTTAACTCTCTACACTCAGACTATTACTGTGTAAAACCAGATTTAAAGATGGTGTTCGCTGCTGTTCCGATGTTTAACCATGAACAGATGCAGCCTTCATGAGATTCTCTGAAATGGACGAATGAATTAAAAATATATATAATGTAAGAATGATAATGTGTATTTTTAAAGTCTTTCAGACTCAGGACGGCTGGTTGTGAACTGTAATCAGTCACCAGCTTGACCTTAAAACAACAACGTCTTCAGTTTCTGCTAAATGGTCACTGCAGCCGCTCTGTGTGTGTGAGGTGTTGGTCATGTGACTGAGAGTGTAAAGAAGGGTAAATGGAATTATTCTATATGCAGATGGTGTCAGATAAGCTCATCTCTCACATGCTGGTCTTCTGAGTTTCTGTTCCATCACCAGTTCTGCATCACTCATATATTCATATATTCATATACAGGAGTGGAAATGGTTTCACTGAGGGGACTTTATCAAATCAAACATGCATCCTAAAATTTATACATTCAAATATGCCCTAAAATGATCTTTGCATTCAATGATTTTATAATAAACCAATAAATGCATAAATTTCCTGTATTCAAAATATTCGGACACTTCAAGGTGTGAAAGTGTGTCTGACCTTATTTTGTTAAAGCTGAAAAAAACAAAACCACAAATTCTGCATGTTTCCATCAACGGTGTTTTTGAGTGATTTTTGAAAATTCATTTCTATCCAGCTCAAGCGTTGTATTATAATTTTTAGTTTATTAATGCTCAGGGGACCCTAAATCTAATTCAGAGAGATTTGCAGCAGGACAGCTAACCCCAAGCAAAAGCTAACTCATGGCTGAGCCACACTGTATGGTCAAAAGTATATGGACACCTGACCATCACACCTATATGAGCTTGTTGGACGTCTCATTACAAAACCATAGGCATTAATATGGAGTTGGTCCCCTGTTGCAGCTGTAACCTCCTCCACTCTTCTGGGAAGCTTTGTACAGGATTTTGGAGTGAGTTTGTGGGAATTTGTGCTCATTCAGTCAAAAAAGCATCTGTGAGGTCAGACACTGATGTTTGATGACCCCAAAGTGTTAATTTCAACAAATAAATAAAGTCATGCACTAACATTAACACAGACTCCATACTCAAGGCTGTTCGCTGTAGAGGGTGTGTTAAGACTGCAGTGTTTCCAACACACAGACCATACTGACTCACCAAGCATCACTGCCTCATTACCCACAAACACCCTCACCTCCTCTCAGCACCTCCACCCACCTGTGAAAAACTCTGGACTGAATTAGTGTTTAACTTAACGCACAGCTGCAGCGTTTATGATGGCCACCAAACAGATGGCGGTGTTTGAAGTTTAATATCAGGACACAGGAGAGTCCAAACCTGATAGAACATCATCAACCCTTTCTGTAGATAAAAGGACAGAAATAGAGCAGTTTAGAAGAGGAGCTTCATCTCATATCACTGCTATCATAACTAACCCTTTCCTCTCTGAAGTGGCAGCGTTTTGGACTTTAATGTATGTCAGTAGGTTTTGATCTGACAGTGATGAGATGATCCTCACAAAGAAGAACAGAAATAAAATGATCATCACACTCAGACGTCTTTCTGAGGGCGCTGAGTGAAAAAGGAAGTGACTCTGAGCTGAAAGGGGAGGAGTGACGACAGAACACACAATGCAGATCACGTCTTCAGTGTCTTTGCTGACTTTCTCTCTGCTGAGATCAGAACAGTTCATAAGTGTAAGAGAGTCAGAGTGAGGAGCTTCTGGACCTTCTGGACCTTCAGGTATCCGCTGTGTTTGAAGAGTGATGCTGCCATGTTTTCCCAGAGCTCAGCAAATATTACAGCAGCACTGATCCTCATTTTACTGGCAGGTAAACTTTACATTTATTTACATTTCTGCTCTTAATGTGTTTGTGTTCCACAGCGCTGATCTACATCTGTGTCAGATTAACGTGTAGAGACTAAAAATCCTTCAACATATAACAGTTACAGTGTGTTTCAGAACATTTTAATACATTTGACACGATTCAGTCACAGGAAGTGGCTTTAGAACGAACAGCAGGGCTACAGTAACTACAGATTAATAACTGATACCATTTTATAATCTCTTAAACTCACAGAACATTCAGACTAACTGCAGCTTTAAGCTGAAGATCTTCATCATCAGAGCTTATTTGTGTGATTAACTCTGTTAAAGCTTTGAAGCTGTTTTAAACTGAGGTCAGCTCTTTTGTGGTCATAAGGTCTTCACCATCTTCACACGTCTCTGAGTAGCTCCTGGTTCTGTTAACAGGGTGGAAAAAGTCAGAAACTGTACCTAAGTGACAGAACAGACACTGTGTTAAGATCTTACTCAGTTTAAAGCAGAAGTTTGGAGACAGAAATATGCTGTGAAGCTTAAATACATCGTTACGCTCTGCTTCTTTTCCGTGTTGGTGTTCTGCTTGTGTCTCTGTGTGTTCCTGTCTTTCCAGCCTGGAACATTTTGTTGTCATTCCATGATTCAGTCTGTGTTTTCTGCTCATCTCCACTTGTTCCAGTCCTCACTCCAGTCTGTGCTCCAGTTCACTCGTTGTTATGACTTGTTGTATCACCTGGTGGGAAGAACAACAGAGGCCTCCTCAGCTCCTCTCAAAGCTTTTTGCTCACTCGTTTGTTTGCTTGTTACTTCCTTGATTTAATCTCTGAGCGACTGTTTATCCGTCATTAGCTTAGCAGCAGTTTAATCCCAGTTTAACACTAGTTTGGCTAAACTGGTAAATTCAGGGGTTTAACCAGCCAAGACAGGTCAATACAACAAAGATGTATTAATTTAATGAAGGCCTCGGTTTGGAGAGTTTTTCTCTCTTTTTTCCTCATTGAGTTTTTCCCTTGACACCAAAGAGCACCTGATCGGACCGTATTTAAAGCAAAGTTTCATTTTCAGTAAAGAGCAGGCCCACAACCACTCTTCTAAAACAGCCTTTTTCATTTCACATCTAACACAGCCCTGTCAATCACACAGTCTGGGTCTCACTGTGTGCAGTGCTGTGTCTTATTTTAATTAGGCTGCTTGTTATTTAAAACGTATCAGCTAAAACTGTGTAGCCCCTAACTTAGATATGTCCATGGCGTTTTTCAGTGATTAGCTCACATGAAACCGAAGGACACTGACTGAGGCTACACTCTGCACTGGTACCTGCTGATGGGTCTCCAAAAGACCCACCTCACCCACAGAGCTACAATTTAACAGAAGCAGAAAGAGCTGCTGCACTCAATGGCTCTCTGTGTCTTGAGCTGGACATACACTGTGATTTTAGCCCGTTTTTAACCTGATTTGGTCAGAGCCACCAGAATTTCATGATCAGGCCGAGTTTCAGCATAATTGGTCATCATTCGTCATGCAGTGTGAGAGGAGAAACAATGCCGGATCAACTGCCCAAACTTATGACAATGGACTTCTGACGTCAGAAATTTTAGTCACAGTGTGAGTAGATCTCACGAATCGAATTCACCAAGTCGAAACCAAAACCTCACACTTACTTTTGTTTTTACTTAAGTCCGGTGGCACGGCATTTGGCTGCAGCGGCCACTTTGGTGGTGATTTTTGCTCTTTTTTGTTTTACTGTCACTGTATCCTGACCAAATCTCAAAAATCATGACTGCAACAACCAGCACCAACGTCTACCATCACCAGCTGAGAAATCAGCCACAATCTCTGCTTCCAGACGGTCTGCGGGAAGAGCTGTGTGAGCTAGGCCTGCTAAGATCCACGGCGCTGCGTGAGCCTGCTGGCCAAAAGTGATGCATAAGAAGGCAGAAGCGAGGTAAACGATCCGGGTGTGCGCTAGGCTAATGGCTAACCCCATATGTTTGTTCCTTGGAAAATAAACTGGACTACCTCCAGATCCAGCAGCTAACGTGCTGGATCTTGTTTACACAAACATCCATAGCTTGTACAGGGCCAAGCCCCACCCCCACTTCTGGACCAGAAGCAAGTGAGAACCTGGCTTCCGGGAGCTATCTCTGCTCTTCAGGACTGTTTTGAGCACACTGACTGGGAGATGTTCAGAGAAGCAGCAACTTCCGGTGACTCCATCAACCTGGAGGAGTATACAGAATCAGTGACTGGCTACATCAGCAAGTGAATTGATGATGTTACTGTCTCCAAACTCATCACAACTCACCCCAACCAGAAGCCATGGATGACTGCAGAGATGCACATGCTGCTGAGAACCCGAGATAAGGCTTTTAAGTCAGGGGATAAGGCAGGCCTCCGGATAGCAAGAGCCAAGCTTTCCTGGGCCATCAGAGAGGCTAAGCGTACCTATGCAAAGAAAATCCAAGAACATTTTCAAAACACTGCTGAAACACGGCGCATGTGGCAGGGCATCCAGGCCATCACCAACTACAAGACACCTCCACCTGCTTGTGACAGTGATGCCTCCCTTCCAGATGCACTGAATAACTTCTATGTTCAGTTTGAAGCACAGAACGGCACGAGGGCGAGGAAGACCACACCTCCTCCAAGTGAACAGGTGCTGTGTTTGTCCACTGCTGATGTGCGGTGAACTCTACACAGAGTCAACCCATGGAAAGCCCCAGGATCCGACAGCATACCGGGCAGAGCGCTCAGAGAATGCGCTGAACAGCTGGCTGATGTTCTCACGGACATATTCAACATCTCTCTGAGCACTGCAGTCGTTCCAACGTGCTTCAAGTCCACCACCATCATCCCTGCGCCGAAGAAGTCTCCAGTGTCCTGTCTCAATGACTACCATCCCGTTGCACTCACTCCCATCATCATGAAGCGCTTTGAGAGGCTCATCATGAGGCACATTAAAGACCAGCTTCCTACTCAGTTTGAACTCATGTTAAACTCTAAACCTCAATCTGACAGAGCAGTCACCCCTGACTGTACGGCCTTCTGACTCGATTTAGCCCGGCCCATTTAAACCTGTTAGCCTGTTGTATATTTTTTTTATAGCTTCCCTTTTTGTGTATTTTTGTAGTGACTTCATCAGGTGAGGGTTTGGCTGCCGTTGTTTCTCTGTGTTTTGTGTTTTTGTTCAGGTAGCTTTTATATTCTGTTTCTTTTTATTTTTAGGTTTAGGTGTCTTTTTAAACCCTTAGTAGTTTTGTTTGGTATTTTTGTTATGCGCTCGTCTCTGACCCTAGACCGGGTCATAACAACATTCACTCCTCAGTACATACAGTCCATATAACACATGACACAAACAGCCGGTTTACAACTCATTTTCTTTGTGATGTCACAAAACAATACATTTATAAAAAAAATAATTCTGACTGTTTTGGGACTCAAATCTACACAAACAAAGTAAATGGACATCAAAGGAAAAATACAACATGAGAAAACTGAAGGATATGGGCCCTTTAAATGTTTTCTTTTTGATACCAGATTAAATATATAAATATATTCATAATGCTGAAGCTTTACTGATTGTCCAGAGAATGTTCTGAATGTTGTCAGCAGTGCAGTGTTTATTTTTGCACATAAACACATTAATAATAACAATTGTTGTTTACAGAATTCTGGTATATGACGTGTGTGTGTGTGTGTGTGTGTGTGTGTGTGTGTTCAGTCCTGCAGGTGAAGGTGGATTGTAAACCTGCAGAACAGACAGTGGTGAAACAGACCTGTAGCTCCACCTGCAGCCCCAGTGGATACTGTTACTACAGCTGGTCCAAGAATGGACAATATGTAGGATGTTCATATAGAGCCTTAGTTTGGTTCATCTCCACCAGTTCATCTGATCAGGACACATACTATTGTTGGGTCCGGAACAGCGCCCTCCCTCAGAAAAAATGTAAGTGTTGGACTCAAACATACCTTAATATGTACAGTACTGTTCAGTCAGAGACCCCCTTACATTCATTTAATTTTCAATCAGAACAGCCATGAAGTACAAGTTAGGCTGGATTTACACAGACTGCCTTGAGACACCATATAGGTTCCTACCAATTGAGACTGTGTCTGTTCCCCGAATAAAACAAAGCATCAAAGAGCCTCGAAAAGTTTGCTTCAGTAACTTGACTAATATCAGACCAGTTATACCAGTTTGCAGTGACAGCACCTTTGGTCTAAAACTAGGAGTGCTTAACATAAGATCTCTCACACCTAAAGCCGCCGTTGTAAATGAAATTATTACAGATCACAGTTTTGATGCTCTGTGCCTCACAGAAACGTGGATTAGACCCGATGAATAGTCTAAATGAAGCCCCCCCCCAGGCTACAGCTATGCACATAGCCCTCGTTTAAGCGGCCGAGGTGGAGGTATAGCAACCATCCATACTAAAGCTTTAGGCGTGAGCCAGAAAGTAGGCTATACATTCTCTTCTTTTGAAGTTATTTTTCTTAATATAAGTGATCAAGGAACAAATAAAAATTCCTTTTCAGTAAATACAATTTACAGGCCACCAGGGCCGAATTCTCAGTTCTTACAGGAATTCTCTGAGTTTCTGTCAAGTCTAATAACGCTTTCAAATAAAATAATAGTTTATTTTAATATCCACTTTGACAATCCTCAAGATGCACTAAGTAAGGCATTTATATCCATCATAGACTCCGTAGGTTTCACCCAAATCATAAAGGGGCCCACACACTACCACAACCACACTCTAGACCTAATACTGACCTTTGGTGTAGACATAGATAACTTAGCCATTCTCCCTCAGAGCACAGCAGTCTCAGATCATTACTTAATCTCATATGAAATTCACTTTAGTGGTAATGTGCGTTCATCACCATGTTATTGTGTTAAGCGGACGATAACTTCCTCCACAGCTGGTAGCTTTATTAGAAACCTTCCCCAATTATCAGCTTCTGTCAGCTGTCCATCTAATCCTACCGAGTTAGATATTATGACCAAGTTCTTAGATACTTTCGATCTACTCTAGATAGTGTGGTCCCATTAAAAAGTAAAATAGTAAGGCAGAAAAAACTGCCCCTTGGTATAATGACCACACTCGGGCTTTAAAACAGACCACCAGACAACTTGAGCGAAAATGGCGCCTGACTAAGCTAGAAGTGTTCCAGTCCACCTGGAAGGAGAGCCTTATAGACTGTAGAAGAGCACTTGCTACAGCACGCTCATCTTATCTCTCCTCACTCATAGAAAACAATAAGAATAATCCTAGATTACTTTTCAGCACAATCTCTAAACTAACAGAGAACAAAACAGTTAGTGAACCCCAGATGCCATTAGTTTAAGGCAGAAACTTCAGAATACACAACTAAACTCCTCAAACCTGCTGCCTTATAATGCCAGTCTAGATCCTGAGAATATTATAATCCCTGCAGAGAGGCTGGAATTGTTTACCTTATCTCAACAAAATGAACTAGTTAATATTGTTTCCTCCGCAAAATCATCTACCTGTATGCTAGATCCGATTCCTACAGGTTTACTCAAGGAAATTCTGCCAGAAATAACCAAGCCTGTTCTGTCAATAATAAACTCCTCTCTTAGCCTTGGATACATCCCAAAATCTCTTAGACTAGCAGTAATTAGACCGCTGATTAAGAAAGCTAACCTTGATCCCTGCGAACTATCAATTATAGACCCATCTCGAATCTCTCCTTTATATCTAAGATCCTGGAAAAAGTGGTAGCAAAACAGTTAAGTTCCTATTTGTATAGAAATCATATACATGAAAAATTTCAGTCTGGTTTTAGGCCACATCATAGTACAGAAACAGCACTAGTAAAAATTGTAAATGATCTTTTATTGTTCTCAGACAAAGGAAATGTGTCTTTGTTAGTCCTCCTCGATCTTAGTGCAGCATTTGACACGGTAGACCACGATATCTTACTAGATAGACTAGAAAACCTTGTAGGGGTAACAGGAACAGCTCTTTCCTGGTTCAGGTCCTACCTCACTGATCGCTATCAGTTTGTTAATATAAACAGTGAATCATCTGTCCTCACAAAAGTAAAGTATGGTGTTCCACAAGGTTCTGTTTTAGGACCTGTATTATTCACACTATATATGCTACCACTGGGCACCATCATCAGTAAACACGGCATAAATTTCCACTGTTATGCCGATGACAGTTATATTTAGCAAGCGAACTGGAGAATAAAATTAAACTTGTTAAGATTGAAGACTGTATAAAAGACATAAAGGACTGGATGTCGAGTAACTTTCTCCTTCTAAACTCCGATAAAACAGAGGTTCTGCTTCTTGGTCCAAAAGCTGCTAGAAACAAACTGTCTGATTTTACACTTAAACTTAACAATTTCTCAGTTGCATCAAGCTCACCTGTAAAAAGCCTTGGTGTCATTATAGACCCTGATCTGTCCTTCGACACACATATAACTAATATTACTAGAACAGCCTTCCTGCATCTCCGCAATATTGCTAAATTGAGAAATGCATTCTCTCTACAGGATGCAGAAAAGTTAGTTCATGCATTTATTACTTCAAGGCTAGATTACTGTAATGCCCTGCTGGCTGGATGTCCCAACAAAAGCCTTAACAAGCTTCAGCTGGTCCAGAACGCTGCAGCCAGAGTTCTTACTAGAACCAGAAAGTTTGACCATATCAGCCCAGTTTTATCAGCCTTACACTGGTTACCAGTTAAATTTCGGATTGATTATAAAATTCTCTTACTGACCTATAAAGCTCTAAAGGGACTCGCCCCTCAGTACCTGAGTGAACTTCTCTCTCTCTATGAACCATCACGCCTACTTAGATCACAAGGTGCTGCTCACTATTAGTACCTAGAATTAATAAAGTTACGTCGGGGGGGAGAGCTTTCTCATACAAAGCCCCCCAGCTTTGGAATAGTCTTCCTGTTAATGTTCGGGACTCAGACACTGCCTCAGTGTTTAAGTCTAGGCTAAAAACTTACTTGTATAGTCGAGCCTTTGGAGATTAGTTTTCCCTGTCAGTTCTATACCTGCCAGAGTCTCGGCTGCTCTGCTAACACTGTAATCTGTGATCAGTCACTCATTACAGAACTGACTCTCTGTGTGTTTTCCTTTCTTTTCTTTGCCGAGTTGAACAGCTGCCCATCCTGTGCGTCTGATGCTGCTGCCTCTCTGCCTTGATCGGGTGCCACTGCTCGCCGGCCCTCTGGACCAGCTTGACCACCATTGAGCTTCATGCTGTACAACGCTGTGCAATCCTCACCCTCAGATGCTCCTGCTGCCGCTGCATAATCAG